CCACAACTACAATCTAAAAACAACATCCTTGACTCTAACTTTTTTTTTAAAGTTATTCGTCTAACTGAAACCTCAATCTCAGCATCAACATGTGCACGACAACACGACTCCATAACCACTCACCATTGACTATCATAGCCACCAACTACTAAAGGAATATCTTCTATTTGCACAAAGATCAAAACTTTTTTAATGTGGCAATACTATAATAAGGTATAATCTCTATTGATGTTAGGATAATTGTACATCTGTAGCAAATCTATAGTTCTGCACAAACAACTTATTAGTTGATCTCCTGGCCTAGCTAGTCTTATAATTTATCATATTTGATAGGAACAACATGCAGGTGAGCTGAGTATTCCATAAAGTTCTTTTGTTAATTGTTAAAAGTTCTAAAACAAAGTTATTTTCTATATATTCAAAAGCAATGAACTTGAATTTGATAGTGAAAGAAAATTATTTATTTTTTGCAATAATAATTGCTTATAACTATTTCAAGAAAATTTGTTTACATATCATTTAGATGTCAAATTAAGTTATACTTTGTAACCTACAAAATTAATGTTTTCAATAATATCACTCTAGAACAAGTCAAAAATATAATCTTGGAGAATATCTTGCCAAAAATGATTGCTTTAAAGAATAGACACCAATCGTCTGCTTGGTATTGATAAAAATCACATCTTTAAAGAATAAACTTAGATGACAAATCAATAGCCTAGAGAATAACGTGAACACTGACCACTATTAAAAAATGATGAAAAATATCACACAAATATGTGCAAATGGGGCAATCTACTAGTAGACATCATAAAACAGAAAATTTCATCTAATACTAAAGCAAATTCTAGGATCCTTGATGAGGTATTGGGAATTTAAACCAGCCTGCATAGCCCACCTATCATGTTGTAGGCCAAAAGACATCCTTCATTATCAAGGACATGCTCAGAACAATATTACTAATCAAAACCATCCACGCCAAAGATAAGACTAGTATAGAGAAGACACTCAAAGAACACCTACAGTCGGTTAACATCATCCAACTGATGATCTTCATGATACTGCCCATAGAATTAAGGTCAATGTTCCCATATTTGAGTGTATTCAAGATTAGGGATATGAGATAAACAGCTTCTTTGCACTACAAAGTCTACAATGAATAAAATGTGTCAAAATTTTCAAAATAAATTTATCAAAATCAACTAAATGATGCTGAAATATCATTTGCTAACAACAAAATATGGTTCCTATCTTACCCAAAAAAAGTGTTAAATAACATGACCAACTCAGAGTTTCTCAAAGAAAGGAAATAAGTGAAGTATGATATGAATGAGAAAATGATGGTACATATAATATATAATATATAATAATTAAATGGGGTAAGGGTCTCTTGAGAGACATTTGAGTTGAACATCAGGATGGATTAAATTTGCTGCCTGCATATTAATAAGGAAGATATCAAATTCAACATAATTTACAAATACATTATTTAAACTAGCCTTTTTGGTCTAATAGCCATTATCATATCACCTGCATGTCAAACTATACTGTAATGCCTGAAAGTGATAGATGCCAACCATATTGATAACTTGGGTTATCAAAGACAGAGATGAGGAATTACACCAATGCAAGCTTAGTAATATAATTGAACAAAATAATGCCTAACTAGCTGAGCCACTTGTAGATAAATAAAAAGCACCAGTGAATGTAGCTGAACCTAAGAGTGTAACTAAGTCAAGCTGAATAGTGAGCCAGCTCGAGCAAAACTTAATAAATGACTTACGAATTGAGCTTGATGAACTAATGAACCAAACATAAACTAGCTCTGACTCAAATTGTCAGCCTAAACCATAACTAATGAGACATAAGAGCTACATTTGACTTGTAAAAGACCTTGCAAAGAATTTATATGGCATAGAAGATGAGTCATGGAGCATATATTATATTAGAAAGGTTGTTTAGAATTGCTTAAGAGTTAAAGATTCTCAGCAAGAGATCTATGTTTGTAATTGAAACAAATGTAAGGTGAATGTCAAGTATATAAGAACATTTGAGAGGATGAAAAAAGTAATAATAAGGTAGTAGAGACCATAAATAAGGTCGTCATGAGTCTAACATAGCTTGTCAAGGCCTTTATGGACCTTATCAAGAGGTTGTTATGTATTATCAAGAAGAAACCATGTCTTTCCAAGGAGGTAATGCTCATTAAGCATTACCAATAGCTTAAAAATAAGCATTCAATGCCAGAAAGTTGTAAATATGTGAGAACAAAGAAGACTATCAAATGAAGTCCTATAAGCCTCCATTGGTTGTTTTATATTAAGTAATAAGTGATTTTTAAGTTGTTGGGACTTAGTCTCCTAGGAACATTATTCATCTATTATATTATTTAGCTAATATTATTGTGGAAGAAAGAGGAGAATTCTGATATAAGTGGTCGCCTAATAGAAACATGTCTCGATTCATACGATATATTACCAAGATAAAATGTCTTATCAAGGCAGATAAATATATTTTCGAGATGGTAAAATATAATATGAGATGATAAAAGAAGGAAAAACTTTACCTTTGGGTCAAGGAATTCATCTGCTTAATCATGAGGTTATTAAGAGTGTTTATGTAGTGTAGCCAAGGGAATGTCATTAAGCTCCAAAGTAATATTAGAGATGTTATAATAAAAATGTATACGAAATTTTTGAATGTTTTATACACTTAGGTACCTTAGATTAGCTAAGTGTTGAGAAAATTTGTTGGAGGCCAAAGAGGCGAGGTGATCAAAAAAGGTGTCCAAGGTAGTTGGGAATGCCATCGAGATAGCTGCGAAATTTTGTGATGGGATATGATTTCATTTTATATGTTTTTTGTATTTTGAGAATTTTGTTAAACTGATATTTTGTGATTTTGTACTTTGGGACATAATTTTATTGCATCTACTTTCTTATTTTCCAATATTGCTATTATTTTCCTGCTAAAATCCTTCATTTTTCATTTACGCAATTCTGTGTTCGTGAGGCTTACGCCTCAGACCGCCTCGAGGCTTACGCCTCGCCTCACGGACGAAAACCGCCTCGAGGCGCAGTTACGCAATTTTAAACCTTGAGATGGATTGCAAGTTAGTGTTAGCAAGGTGTTGAGACAAGTTTTGAAGGTGTATGAGATGGATGGAGGTGTCGACAAGAAGGATTTTAAGGACGTGTGCAATAGGCCATGAAGAGTTGCAAGGTAGGCTACCAAGACAATGTCGTCAAGGAACCTAGAAGCTATGTGCAAGAACTGGATGTTAGGTAAGGAGTGTAGTGATGTGGTAAAAAGGAAAACAAAGAAGTTTATTTAAGGGAGAAAACAATATGAGAACATAATCTATGTTGAGATGGTTCTTTGAGACAATGCGCAAGAGAGATAGTTGAGGACTACTAAGAAAGAACATTGCACCATAGAGATGTTAAGATATTCTTGAGAATTTGTATGAATGTTGAAAATTCACCAAGAGTATATAGATTGATGATGGATACTTATATATGTAGTTGGAGGAGGCGTATAGGGAAGATACTAAGAACTTGATCCATTGTTTACTAATATCAGAGAATTCATCCACCTTTGCAATAGAAAAAAAATAAAGGGGATAAAGCTTTATATATATTCCATATTTTAAAGATAGAGGTGTTAAACCTCATGTAATACTCAAAACTATGTATTAGATCTGAAGAGACATTATATGAGTTAGAGAAGAAACAATTAGCTAATGCAATAAAGAGTCTTCTTGTTTTGCAGTTTACTTAGTCCTCTAATAGTTGGGGGTATGTGAAGGAGAAGGCCCTTGAATATGATAATTGATCACAATTTGTAAGCATTGACGCTACACGACTTAAGTACTATGCTCATTTAATGATGTCTTTTTAATATAAGAAAAACATTGGGATTGTACAAAGTGCCTTATAATAGTAAGGGAATTAAATAAAGTGACAATCGACTACAACAGCAACAGCATGATTTGAAACTCCCTCAAAATTCCGTTAGTGCATAATGAGGAGGGTTGTTATAATTAATGCATGTATATTTATAATTGTACTTCTCCGGCAACATGGATAGATGCATCTATCTTTTATACACATTCTACAAAGATGAACTATGCACGTCTACAGAGAAAAAAATTGGGACGGGGATTTCAGCAAAATACAAGGGGGAGCCGACACTCAAGCCAGAAAAGAAGTTATAGTTAATAAGTTGGTCTAGCAACACCTTATATTTAAGTATACTGTTTCATATCTAGGAAGGTAACATGTTAATTGCTATTATTTTATAAGATCTTTTCATGCTTGCATGTGTTTGGATAAAACTTTCTTGTTTATATCAGGATTTTGTTTGCTTTTATTATAAATATAAGATCATTTAAAATTAGGAAATGGCTAGAAAATTAGATCCCCCTCGCCAAACCTTGAGTTACTACTCTTTGGCCGTGAACCACTACTCCATAGATATTGAAAATGTGAGGTACATAAACTAAGGAAAACAAAAAATTGATGCCCATCTAAAAAACCTAACACCAGTCAATTCACCTGACCCAAGGGAGCTTAAGCCTCTAGTTGCCTCTAAGGCCCATCTAAATTTTGGTGAAGTCCTCAAAGCAGTTACTTGTATTCCGTGTTTTGCATAAACTTTATTTTCTAAATCAAATATATTCCAGAGGTTGATAGAAAAAAGCTAGAGGAGCGCTCCTCATCAAAACCAGCTCAAACTGGAACGTCAGCTCCAGCTCTGCATTCTCCAGTATATCATCATCATTAGTTTTATGAATCCTCATCCTCCTATTCCTATTTAATGTTACATGAGGTGTCACCTCTATTTAGCGCAAAGACAATTTTAGTCGATATGTAGCAAAATCAATTAAAGCGAATTAAATTTTGAAGAAAAAAATAAGTGGTAATATTACAGATATGGCACAACAAAACTTGTGATATCAGTTGGCACATTAAGAAGCACATACGGGAAAAAAAACTGACCTAAAATGACCAAGTATACCAACTACAGCCATGGCCATTCCAGCAAAGTAGGTGTATGTATCACCAACAAAAACCGAAGAAGGATACCTGAATTAAAATAAATGAACTACATTCAGGTTAAAGTAACAAAAACAACCTGAAAAAAATAATTAGTGACGTCAAAAATAATCTTCCAAGCAATCATTACCAGTTGTATGAAAGCAAAGCTAATGAAGTAGTCAACAGGGGAAGCATTAGGTAAATAGAGAATGCATGAGCTTGCTTGTATTCAGGGTCTGAAGATGTACCAATTTCCATCACATTGTGTATAAGAATCTGCAATCAAATGGATATATCAATCTCTGTATTAGCGTTACCTGTTACGGTGTTGAGCAGTAAAAACATCAGTAACAACAGCAAGTACGCTCAAAACCCTTTTTTCTTACTGCAGCTGCAATAACAACTGTTTGTCCTGCTTCAAGGCCATTGAGACCAGCATGTATATTGATGGAATTTGTGCAAAACACTGCCAGCATTCCCATGTAGAGTTTGTATATCCAGCCTGCCATTCAAAAGTATTAGAAAAATAACTTTAGTTTTCTGAATGAATCAGATTCCATCATACCCGCACATATTGGAAGATTTGAATGGTCCAGAAAAAAAAATGTGATACATTGATATGTACGTCTAATTTATGATGGCATAGAATTTGGTGGTATTTATTGCCTTTTGGATGTGTGAGTCCATATACTAGACATACCTAAATCCAAGAATGCTACACCAACAAACTGAGCCAAAGGCTTTGGTATGACTATTGATGTATGTCCAGCATATGCCATCAACAATGGAAGTGCGGCAAATGATGGAAGCACCAATTTTCTGTTTATCAAAAAATATAAAATTATAACAAAAAATTTAGAAGAATTCAAAACTTAAGACGCATTAAAGAAAAAACTTTATTAGTTCAAGCAAACGATCTAAACCACATATACAATGAGAGTCTGATGTTTATTAAAATGAAAATTTCATTTTATCTAGTCACTTCTTCCCAATAAGAATATATTCATAGCACAAAATGCCAATCAACGCCACCAATCTTGATTTCAGACACTATAACTAATCAAAGCATCGATGTTCATGATCATTATTTGTTGCAAGTGGGCAGTCAATATGTTATTAATGATTAGCATAATGAGTGCAATGCAACAATCTTTATTTTCTTTGCCGTAAGTTATTCAAATCAAATCAGTCCTGCCAGACAATCTTGATTTCTTTTTTGATGTTGCATGAAGAATGTCCAATGACAAGGAGAAATAATATTTCCACTATGGTAAGATGGGAAACCCTCCCTCTCAAACCCCTCCAACAACACCTCTATGTGCATGTTTATATATTTCATAACGTAGGTACCTACATTCTCCAGGGAACATCAAGAACATCATCAACAAATCCAAGCAGAGTCATGAAGCAAATGCATGCCAGCGCTGCATTGTATTCAACGAGCCACTGCAAAACAGAATTAAAAGCCCCGTCAAGAACCTATAAAGCAATTCCAAGAGTGGGTTTGACTCCAACCTAAATAATTCATTATCTTTTTGTCAATTTAAAAGCTTTAAATTGGAGTCACGAAGTAAACCAACTTCAACGCCTAAGGTGTTGCATCTAACATATATTAACCAATTAAAAGGCTATATTACTTAATGCAATAAAATTTCAAGGGTAATTACTGATAAAAAGAATAAACAGCAAGGAAATTAGTAGCAGCATAAATACAATTATCAAAATGAATACAAAAAATGATAAATAAAAAAAATGAAAGCTTATAATATCCACAAATTGCAAAGTGACAGCGATATAAATAGTATGTTGGCTACAAAAACATACATTAGAGTCTGCGGTAAAATTGAAATGCTGAAACAGTATTGCAATGACCAAATAGACAATCCCGATGACTATGCCCAATGATTCAGGCCTGGAAAGAAGAAAAAAAGATAATCATGCAACTATGTTGAAAAACAGGTCAGATGGAAAATAAAATCAATAACACGGTACAAATAAATTCACATAGATTAGGTCAACTTGAAAATATTAAACTTGCTCAAGCATCATATCTAGAGTTGATTTGCTTAAACGCAGGAACATGAACAAATCATATTCTGCAGCCAATGGAAGCTAGCTCCAGACTGTGGATGTGTTCAGGGTTCTCTCAAATCTCTTTGGAATAAGGTGCTATCTCTATCTAATCTTCATACCTCCTTGTCTAATTCCTACTCATCTTCTTGGTTTGGTTTTTTAAACACTGGAGACTATCTCTATCTAATCTTCATAACTGTCTAATTTCTACTTATCTTCTTGGTTTTGTTTTCTAAACACTCGAGTCATCTTGGTACTATGGTTTAGTACTTCAAATGAATTTCCAAAATCCATAATCTTTCCCCCTAACCCATAGACATCAACTTGGTGTAAGTTGGGTGTTGTTCCTGTTTATAGTATCAACTGTCAAAACTAACTCCAACATGGAATTGCCGATAATATTTTGATACTTCCAATATATAAGAGAGTTCGTTTATTGAACACCTAGTACATCGCTGAGGCTTGTTGCTGCATCAATCTCCTCAGCACCCTTTCCTTGAAAGGTAAAAAGGTGCACCAAAATTAATCAAGAAGTAGTCGAAGTTGAATGTATTACATTCTTAAATCTCTCCTTAAACTTGGGAGTAATAGAAGAATTTCAAAAGTTAGATTTAAACTCCTAAATTTTAGGAGAACCCTAACAAACATTGTACAATCCTCCGCAAAATCCAAACAAAAACAACCATTCTAAAACAAGCCCATTCCTAGTTACCCTTAATTCGTAAAACCCTAACCATAGCCCTTGTCAACCACTAAAAAATGAGATTTCCCTATTTCAAAAACCATGAGCATCTATATCATCTAAAACCAATATATATTCAAGAACAAATAGATGCATCGCTTTTATGCCATATAACTATTGTTCATCATGGACGACCTGTAATCGTTACTAAGCCAACATGTATTCTTTTTAGGAGCAAAGGATTCAAATCACTATGATAAGGAAAACTAAATACAAGTTAGGAATTGATTATTAGAACTTTATAAAAGAACGTTGATAGGTATTCTTGTTATGTAATTACTTCGTCATCAATGGTGTTTGACATCATAAACAACAAGTTGCATTACTAGTGGGAATTATATTGCATATCAATATGATGGGCATACACGATTACACTCACTATTGCATTCATGAATATTGCATCATACCAAAACACCCTCATATATTTATCAATTGGTTAAATAATCTAGAAAATTATTTTATTTGTAACTACATGGCTGAATATAAAAAGAGAATCTTTTAGCTCTAAGTTAATTAGTTTTGCCCAAAAAAAATTGAAAACTAATCAAGTGTAACATCAAAATGTATGAATATTTGTCTACCTATAGGTGGAAATACATGAAATTTTAGATTAAAACATGAACATCCATCAACTAAATTGGAAATTTATAAAATGATACAAAAACTTAAGAAAAGGAAAATTAGTTTCTTTATTATTACCTTGTAGTATCTTCTAATGTGATCTGATAAGCTTTAAAAAGGTTTAGTAATCAACTTAGATATTTTTTAGTAACAGACTTGGATATGAAATTAAAAATGATTAAAAATATTACTATCATGAATCATTAGAGGAAGCTTAAAATAGTGCTTGCAAAAGTGAGAGAATTGTTAATAAATATGTTTTAGAAACCTGAACACTAATCTCATGAATCTAAGTTAAAAGATATGCATAGACATCATGAGAAAAAGTCATTCTCACAAATGTTATAGTATAGTTGATAAAATCTATCAACAAAATCATAAAATTGATATGCAAAGTTGCAAATTATTGCTATCAGTACTTATAGTCGAGCCTTTCCAACACAGCAAGCACACAGTGAACACAATCAGATACAAAATACTTCTATTTTTGAAAAATAACAGAATTTAAGGACTTCACAATATCCTGAATCTAGTAAACCAACATGATCTCAAAAGCTTGAACATAAGCATGACAGCTGATACTAGAAAAAACGTAAATGCAATTAATCCATGCACACAACATATTGATGTTATTATATTCTCCATATGATAAAAAATATGCACCATCTTTAGATTTACATGAGTATTTGCAAAAAGACAATACAATGATGACTGCTTTAATGAAATTTTTATTTATTCTGATAATTTTATTCATGATAATTATCCAAGATATAGTGAACTCTGCTTTGAATTAATGCACCCCTTATGATATTTATTGGGCTGCTCATATTAAAAACCCTTGTACACTCTCTATGCTCATGAAAACCTTTAATTGAATACTTATCATGTTCACTATTCTATGATAGGATGTGTGAATGTAGCACTTAAGATATAAAATGATTTAATTACTAATTCAATTATCATGGTATCTGACATGGTCTAAATTGCTTTCCCCTTAGTAATCTTTTCGGCAATTAATTAAGTAGTACAGAGATACAAAGTAGCTTCACAGAGGCAATTTTGTAATTATGGCTCATAGTTGTTAATAGGGATAGGTATCTATATATGTGCATGCCTTATTTTGAGAGAGGGGAGTTTTTTCAAATGTATTTTCTAGGTTTAATCCTATTTGGGAAGAATTTTTTTCTACCCTTTGGGGTGGATTTCCATTTTCCTCTTAATATAAAGAGGTGGAGAAAGAAGCGACAATAACAGAATCCCGAGACTTCTCCATGATTGATCCTAGAACTTGTAGGCCACTTGATTAACAACTAAGCCGGGCCACATCAGGATCCAACGGCTGGAAAGATTCTAAACTGTTGCAATTGGGCTGGAAGGTGTTGTTCACAGTAAGGGAGTAAGTGAGCCAAGCCGGCTCGAACTCAACTCGTTAACAAGCTCGCGAGTTGAGCTTATCGTTCTTCGAGTTTGAGCCTATAATCAAGCTCGGCTTGACTCGACTCGAGAGCTTGTCGAGGTACTCGATTATATTAAATAATTATATTATATTTATTTTAAAATATTATCTAATATTAAATTAAATGAATGAAATTAAAAAACCCTAGCTACACGTCGCCCAGTCATTTTGCAAATTACAATCCACACTCCACACATTGGCATCACGGGAGACAGCTCGAGGTTTTGACTTTGTCTTCAAGTTTCTCTTCGTCTCTTAGGTTTATATCCTTCCCATCGCCGCATTTTTCGCTTCCAAGGTTGTTCTACTTGTTTGTTGCTCATCGGATTTGGTGTTTTCACGATAATCATCCATAGAATCAAAAAATCATGCAATTTTTTCGCTTCCTCTCCTTTATATTTCCCTTATACTACAGCAAGTGTGTGTTTGTTGTGCTTTTTGCATCGTTCTTACTACAACAAGTGTGCATTTTCACGGTAACTTTACGTTCAATTTTCTGTATTAATTCGTTTGGGGTTTTGTTACTTCCAAGCACTTCTCCACTTATTTATTTTCATATTTAGACTTTAATGCATGTATTTTTATATTTTTTAGTTATGTATTTAGTTCATTGGTGCTAAGGAAGGAGGAGAATAAAGACATGTACTTGGGGAATCTCATCATTATTGGATAGCTTTTGTTAAGTTGTTATGAACGTGTTTAATTAGGATGTAAAATCTTGGATAATATCTCCAATCATTTTGTAATGGTGTGGTGTTCTACTGAATTATATATTTTGTCTTGCATTTTTTTTTAATTTCGTATTGAAAAGAATATGGAGAGTTTTGAAAAAAAGGAGTTAATAATGATTATATTCAAATTATTAAAGATATGTATGCATAAGCTATTACTTGTGTTCAAACCAAAGGTGGTTTGACCAAGCATTTTCCTATTTTTGTTGGATTATATCAAGGATCGGCCTTAAGCCCATATCTTTTTGCTTTAGTCATGGGTGTTCTCACTAGACATTTGCAAGAGGATGTACCTTGGTGTATTCTTTTTGCTCAGAGTCAAAAGATTTTGGCTTGAGTAAATCTAAAACTAAATATATAAAGTGTAATTTTAGTAGTAATAGACCTAGTGAGGGGATTGTGACTTTGGAAGATCAAGTCATTAATAAGAGTACACGTTTTAGATATCTTGAATATATTGTTCAGAGTGATGGTGAAATAGATGGCGATATTATCAGCATTATTCATGTTGGATGGTTGAAGTGAAGGAATGCATCAGGCTTGTTGTGTGATAGAAAAGTACCCCTCAAACTTAAGGTAAAATTCTATAAGATGGCGGTGAGACCTGCATGCTTTATGGTGTTGAATGTTGGTCATTAAAAGAGAAGCATAATACTAAGTTAAGTGTTGCAAAGATGAGGATGCTCAGGTGGATGAGTGTTTTACCCATAGAAATAGGATACGAAATGAACATAACCGTGAAAAGGTTGAAGTAGCTCCAGTGGAAGATAAGATTAGAGAGAAACGCCTTAAATGGTTTGGTCGCATAAAACGGCGGCATTCCGATGACCCGGTTAGGAAAGTATATGTATTAGATTTAACTTATGTTAGAAAAGGTAGAGGTAGACCTAAAAAGACTTGATTAGAAAATATTAAAATGATCTTTTTTTATTAAATTTAAACGAGAATTTGACTTTTAACCAAGGCTTTTAAAACCGGACCGGTCAATGAACCGGAAGAAGAAGGGGTTAGAGGTTTGATGGTTCGACCGGGGTCGAACCGGATGACGTAATAAATATTTATTATAGCACTTTCTTGTTATTGTTTATATAGCATATTTAGATTTCTTGAACAAAGAGAGCACATGGGGAGGTCATGTGAAGATGTTTCATGATGCTTTGAGGACAAAAATACTTATTATATAAAATGTATTTAACTTTAATTAAATGTTTTTAATATATATTAATTTATTTATTTAAAAAAATACTTAAAATTTGTGAGATTTGAACCGGCCGGTTCAAAAATAATCGGACCGGTTCACCGGTTCGCCGGTTGAACCAGCGGTTCTGGCCGGTTCAGTCCGGTCCTTTGTAGAAGCGGTTATAGAGCTGAATCGGACCGGCCTTGTGACCGGTTCATGGTCGAACCGGCCGATCCGAACCGGTCGAACCGGCCGATCCGGTCCAGTTTTCAAAGCATTGCTTTTAACAAGACACAAGGGAGAAAAACGATTCATATAGCGAACCCCACAGTGGGATAAAGGCTTGATGATGATGTTGTTGTTGTTGTTCGTATTGAAAAGAATGTCATTATACATTAGCATATTGAGTAGAGAAGTGGTTTTTTTTTTCCTACTTTATTTAATCACATTCATCATCTATAAAGCAATGATGACCGTTATTGTGAGGCAAAGCAAGTCTAAATAAGATGTTTTTATTATATATGCATAAATTTTAAGGTTTATCATGATATCATTAATATAGAATTAGGATGTTTGTTTAATAATAAGATTTAATTATAGTAAAATGTTTGTTATAGCTTCTCAATGCTAAAAATTAATGCCTAGTTAAAATAATGCTGAAACTAAATGCCTAATATTCATACTATCAAAAATCTTCATAATTTTGAAATTTTCAATTATTGCCAATGGTGTCATATCCAACATAAAATTTAAATTTAAAATTAGAAAATTGAGCTCCATATTCGAGACAAGATCGAGCTTCTTAACGAGCTCGAGCAATCAAGTCAAGATCGAGCTTAGTATGAGCTAAACAAGCTCAGCTCGATAATGCAACTACTTGACTTAACTCGACTCGTTTACACCCCTAATCTGCAATTCCTTAGCAATCTACCACAACAAGTGTTGACAAGAATCTTTCTCTTGAGTTATCTTGAAACCAGCAGCCCATAAACAGTAGAGGAAAACACACACAAGAAATTGGAGATTGGACTATTTGAAAGGATTTCTAGGAAACCATCACATCCAAGGTAATTTAATGCATCAAGAAATGCTCCAAAATCAGGTTATATGTTTTCATATTTTGTTTCTTAATTTGTCTTCACTTTGATGAGCAGAATCTACCCATTTTCTTCCAGAGTTTCACTATAGTCTGCTGGAAATTCCAGCAAAGTTCGTCTATACATAGCAGTCTATGAAACAGAACGAGAAAATGAACCCAAAGAGATGAAGCCAAGTTCTTGTGTCGCAGTTCTCTCTACAGACTCTGGCAACTATCTACTTTATCCCAGAAAACTCCACAGGTTCTCAGTCGTTTGATTACTTGTAATACCATTTTCTTTTAAGCAGTTAATTTATCTAGTTTTTTCTCCTAGAATTGAATTATAGGTTGCTTGAATTTTATCCAACACCTCTTTGCACAACTCTAAATGGATATTGGAAGGACTGCCTCTAACAAGAACCTAGCAATAGGAAGGGAATTCCATCCATGGTGTATGATACAGCAAATTCCATTTTGTATGATACAATGAAGCTTCCTTTAAATAGAATAGTTAGCTAGTTTACCATCTGTAATGGCTAAGGTTAAGATTTCTTTAATATGTTATTGCTCGCCAGAATCTATATGAGGGATTGCTTCCTGTCTACAGTGTTTATTAGGGTACAAATTGTGGATTGTAAATTCTACTCAATTAAGATTTTTGCATAACTTCTAGGGGGATCCTTATTTTACCATATCGTTCTTTTAATATTAAACAGTTAAATGTCCTAGCAAAAACACACTCAAACCTATATTCCTTTTGGTAGGTTTTCCGGTACGTAATGTTAAAAAGCTACGAATGGTACTAGTTGATCTTGATCCCTGTTCGCCACCATTGTCATGTCTATTGCCATTATTCCATTAATGCATCCACTAGATCCTCAACCAAAAAGCAAGTCAAGGCGAGTAAAGAAGATGGAGGTGACGAATGCCTTTCTTCCCGGAGAGAACAATGATTGATACAACGATATGGAGTAGCCAACAGGATTTCAAAGCAAGTGCCAAACAAATATGGCAGTCAAGGGTTAGTTGAGTTAATCTCAAAAAGTAGCAGAAGGCATTAACCTGCACAATATCAAGTTTCCATTTTTTCCCCATCATCTTTCATTTATAAGGAAATGTCTTTTTTTAAGTGAATATTGAAACAGAAAATAAAACATTCCTCTCGATTGATTGCCCAGTATTGAGGATAGATATGTAAAAGATGCATAATTACTTGAGACCATGCCTGGAAACCTTCAAATCTACTTGTATTTGTGATCGCTAGTCTGTCATTCTATGTGTTGTTCTTAAGCAAATCCAACCACCTCCTAAGCTGATGCAATCAAAAATTTGGGGAGGGACCTACCCAAATTTTTTATCACAAAAAGAAAAACTCTTTCTAGGATGATAGAAAGACATAAAATACTTAAAAGAACACAAATACTATAAAACACAACTTTATATAATAAAACGACTTACAAACAAAAACTCTTACAAACGACGCTTACAAACTTTGACACAAACATGACATAAACATCAATCCTAAAACTGCATTTTCTTGAGAAGAAGGATACAATAGAGTGGACACTTGCGGAGAGAAGAAAGAGGTTAGAAGCCAAGGCGAAGGTTGGAAAGAGCTCGCAAGATTTCCATAGGAGGAGGGGAAGAAGATTGGAAAGAGCCCGCAGGATTTCCAAAGTAAAAACCTCTCAGGTTTTCTTACTCCAAAAATAACATCATATCACTCTCTTAACACCCTAAAACAGCCACACATTTTATATTTATAGACCAAAGAAAGGAATACCAATAGCCACTAAAAGCATTAATTAAAGAAGATCAAAAGGCACTTAAATTTGTAGCAGGAATCTGCCCAATATTCAGCAAAAGACTCTTAGAATTCTTTCCAAAACCGTCCCCAAAAACTGTCCAAATTCTGCCTAAAAACAGCCCAAGATTTCCCATAAATGGAGTGATAAAAGCCATCAATTTCCTGTACAGAATTTCCAAATGTCACAGCAGCAAGTCACGGCTCCAGCACAGGAAACAGGGCAGAAAAATTCGGTTTCCAGCATAGGAAAACCAAAAGCAGCAAGCTTTTTTTTAAAAGCCACAGAGAAACTCCAAACGTCATAGCAATTCTCAAGGGAAAGCCACGGTTCCAGCACATTGAAAAAGACATCAATTAAAGGGGATAAAGGCCACGGGTTCCACCACAGAAAAACCCCAAACGCCAATCATTAAAGCACATTGAAGGCCACGATTCCATCAGCCAATTGAGGGAAAAGTAATGCAGCAGCTCAAGAGGCAAAGAAGAAGAGGAAGAGACAAGTTCCACTCACCTAAAAGCTTGCACCTCATAATGAATTTAGAGCTAAACCTCAGCTCATAATGAGCTACAACTCCACATGATAATAATGAGCTTGCACCACTAAAATTTCAACAACTAAAGCTCAAAACCGAAATCAGCCAAGGCTTCATAGAACTAGAAAACAGCTTGTGTTGACCCCCCCTTTGTCTACATCATAAGCCATCCGTTGTAGCCACCACCCAAACTCTTTTGAAAAAACTTGTTCACAATTCAACAAAATTAATGCATGACAATTAAGGTCTTCATGGAATCTGACTTAATGTTGAAATAAGCCAAAGCTAAGCCATAACTTGCTTAGTGATTCTCCTTCTCATTGTATTTAGTTTTAAATTAATTTTAAGAACCCTTTAATAAACTCCAACCTCCTAGGATGTTCAATCTCCTTTATCAAGTACATCATTTTCTACTTAAAAATGATCTTTAGTTTCTTGCAGGTTTTTTGTCTTCAATTCTATTAACCCTCTTCTATAAAAGAAATTCTTAAATAATTTTGTAAATATTGTCATGTTAAATCAAAACTACGGCGCTTCTATAATTTTCAACCAACATTTTAGAGAAGAATTGTTGCTTCAAATGTCGTGCGCACTTCCCCATCATCCAAGTAGTGTAAATGCATAACCTTCAGACTATGTGTGTGAAGTTTATCAACTCTCATATTAAATAGATTCTCTTTCCTTTTTTCTCTCATTTTGGTTTCAATCTCCTCTTCCTTAGATTTCTTTGTTCTTCCATAGTTTTCTCACATCCTCTTTCTTCCGACTACTGCAATGTCATCAATTAATACCCTGGATGGATACGCTTTGCAGGTTGCTTTCTTATTCAGTCCATCTGATCATCATAAATAAAATTGACCCTTTTAAACTATGTTTTGTTAGTTTTTTAGGGGTAACCCTTTACTAAGGATTATTTCAGCTTTTGAACCATTAGCCCTCTTCTATAAAGGAGAGTCTTGTTGGTTAAATTTATCATTGAATTTGATGAATGAAAATAAACTCCACATGTTGAGAGTCTTGGCCAACCCACTTTTATGTCAAGGAAGTTGCTTCCAAAGTTGTTTTGTACTTCCTCTAGGTACGATTTGTGAGAGGGTCACCTCCAAATTGTGTATGCATTTGTCAATTATCTTTGGTAAAGGCGCTGCCTTTCTTTAATCTCCTTCCACTATTTACTCCTATTAGCACTTTTTTTTTTCTTTTCCCAATCATTTGAGATATCCTGATTTTCTTCTTTCACGTATTTCCCGAATTCATGATCTTTAAGCATATGCAGTTCAGGCTATATTACTATCACGGCTCAGGAAAAAAAGGATACTCTGAGTCTCTGATTAAAAACTAAGTATCACATCTTCCTTCATTGCAGGGTTAAATCCGGAACCCCGCCACAAGCTAAATTTATTATTGTTGAGTGTTGGCAATGTTTTACATTTATCTCGGAAAAATAAAAAATAAAAAAGGCAATACAGTAACCACATCAAAACCTACTACTAGCTAAAGTTGCATGACTAAAGAATATGCAGAAAGCAAATCAAACGAGAAAAAAAAAAACATTTGTGAAGTAAAAAACTGACACTTTGATGTTCCCTTGAGGTGTTCCCTTTTTATTGATATCGTATCCGAACATATTTCTCTTCAGCACGTACCGCGCGGCCACTGGTATCATCCTCAGACAGACGACAAACCCGGCGAAGCTCATAGCTGCGCAAATGGCAATCGACCGCCTCAATTCCTCTTCGATCCTGTAGTGGATGAAGACTAGATAGACAAACGGGAAAAAGAAATGGGCGGAGGCGAACAGGACCAGCCCTAGTTTTGGCGGCGCCAACGGCGGATCCTCTGCCACAGTCGACATCGGCGGATCCTCTGCCACAGTCGACATCGGCGGATCCTCTGCCACAGTCGCCATCGGCTGAGGCTCCACTTGCTGGGGCTCCACTGAGGCTGACAAAACCCTTCTCCTAGGAGCCATAACTTCAGAAAGTATGACGCGAGAAAACTAGATCTGTTTGGTTGCAACATTTAACTGAGATTTATTCAAGATTATTAAGGCTAAATCATACCAACAGTTATTTGGAGCAAGCAAAACATACAGTTATGCTTAATCCAGTAGCATCCCACCTGTTTAAGATTAAACGCGATCTGCAAAAGCCTGAGAACAATCTGATTTACAGAAGTAAGGGCTTTCACTCAATCTCCGCCGACAGTCCTTGCACGAACTCCTCTTCTACAGTTCTACTTCACAAGCCGCCGGCCCTGACGATTTTGGTTCCCTCGTCTTTGTCGTCGAGGTTTCGGAAATTTGGGTATGAAATGAATGAGAAATTATTAAGCGCGTTACGTCGTAGATACTTGTTACTCGGACCACCTTGGATCTTCGATCAGTCGGGGAATTTTAGTACGGTAAATAAACTTATTTTAGGAAATGTCCGATTGTCTCGTTTAAATTGGCCTGATTTTATTTTACTTTCCAATTAAATAGGAAAAATAGCTTTTTAGCATAGAGAATCAAATAATTTCAAATAGTTAGATTACATTGTTTTTATTTTATACTATATTATTTTATATTGCATTCACTTTATAGCCAACTAAAGAACTTCTTAATGAATTTTTATTTATATATCTAACAACTAAAATCAGTTATTTATCTATATATCCACTTTAATGCATTTCATAACTTTAATATTATATATCCATTACAATGTATTCAATAATTTGGACATACCATTTTTATTATTATTTTTATTCTTGTCATAAAGGTCAAGTCCCTCTCAATGTATGCTTTGATCCTCTAATGAATATTTTGAAACGTTCTCCTTTTCATCAACATGTGCACTTCACAAGTTAGTCCTTAGTTTTCTTCCTTCTTCGTCATTGTTGCGGGCTAGAATATACGCGGCGATAGAGTTACAATTCTATGTCTTAACATGTACGGATATCCAGCTCACACACAGAGAACATAATATTTTTTACGTGGAAAACCCGGAAAAGGAAAAAACCACGAGGCCTAGCCCAGTTGAAAATGATTCCACTAAAATTTGAGGAAAGTACAATGGTCTGACTTGTCCTTGAAGACGACCAGATTACAAATATCAACTGAGAGTTTTGCAAAAGTAGTTGTGGCTTGAAAATAAGTGGAAGATCAAGGGTAAATTTGGAGTGGTTCGAATGGACGACGGATCTTGATTCTTAAGATCATGCACCGTTCAATGGATATTTAATTGTCTTAATGATATCAGAATTTGATGATATTGGGCTCGTTGGATTCATCTCATCGAGCCGCTCGATTCGAATATAAGCATGTCATGATTGGAGATCCTTTGGTAACCCAAATTTTGTTTCAATCCTTAAAAAAAATGCGTTGAGGCTTTGATTTGGACTCATTTGGGCTCGGATTGAGTCGATTTTGGAGTCGATGATTCGTGTTTCCGAGACGCTCAGTTCGACTATAAGTTTGCTGAAATCAAAATTCACACGCTCTTCGATTTAATTTTTGAAGTTTCCAACTTGATTTTGCCTCGAGATTCGTGCTCGATCAAGGTAATTTTTTTATGATGTATCAGTTGCCCCCCTATTTTTGGACGTCGAATCTTGCAAAGTTCAAAAATACTTGTATAATTTCAATATTTAAAAATTAAAATATCTCAATCATACTTTTACAAGATAAAATTATATATGTATAAATATATACGTATATGATTACTAATTTAATTAATTAGTTAATCGATAACACACACTTTACATGAAAACAAAGTTTCAGATTGTTCTTAAGCTTTGATAGCATATTTCTTAAAAAAATGATGTCATATATAATAAGCTATATATGACGTTAATAACATATTAATATATTAATATATTAACTTTAATATATAACTTATATAAATGATATATTAATATATAACTGAAATATTAAACATTATAATAAATGTTATATATGAGTAAACATACCGTATAACTTTATTAATATATAACTAATAAAGTTAGCAGATATGATTAGTGTAGGTAATTTATAAAATTTTATTATAATAACGTTATAAGGTTAACACATATAATTAATATAGTTAACTTATACAACGTTATAATAACATTTATAAAATTATAAAGCCACTTTATATAAATGTTGTATAACTTAAAATTAATGGCATAATTTATAACTATTGTATAAATTAAAATTAGTGGCTCTTCATCTCTCCCTCACACCACTATAAATACCCCCTTTGGGGTATGAAAATTTACACCTCCCCTCTCTTCTCTTCTTTCTCAAGCTGAGGCCTTCCCCTAGCTCTGTTCAGATGGGTATCCCCTGTTCAGATGGGTATCCCCTGTTCAGCCCTGGGGACCCTCACTGAGTAAGAGGAAAGTGTGAGGTTGGAAGTTAGGCAGAAGACCGGTATTACTTGAAAACCGAGCAGAAGGCCGACATCGGGCGGAAAAATGATGTCACCCATAATTCGGGCGAAAGACCGGTGTCACTTGGAGGCTGGGAAGAAGGCCGACGTCACTAGGAGGTCGGGCAGAAGACCGACATCACTTGGAGGTCGGGTACAAGGCTGACATCACTTGGAGGCCGGGAAGAAGGCCGACTTCACTAGGAGGTCGGGTAGAAGACCGTCGTCACTTGGAGGCCGGGCAGAAGGTCGACATCACTCAAAAGTCGGGTGCAATACCGATGTCACATGGAGGCCGGGATAGAAGGCCGACGTCACTTGGAGATCGGGCAGATGATCGACGACACTTGGAGGCCGGGTAGAAAGCCGATATCACTCCGAAGTTGGGTGCAAGACCGGCGTCACATGGAGGCCGGGAAGAAGGCCAAATGTCACTCCGAAGTTGGGTGAGAGATCGGCATCACATGGAGGCCGGGTAGAATATCGACATCACTTGGAGGTCGGGTAAAAGGCCGCTCTTATAGGTCGAGCAGAAGACCGACGCTACTTGGAGGCTGGGTAGAAGACCGATGTCACTCCGAAGTCAGGTGCAAGACTGGCATCACATGTAGGCGGGGCAGAAGGCTGATGTCACTTAGAGATCGGATAAAAGACCGGTGTCACTTGGAGGCCGGGTAGAAGACCGACATCACTTGGATGTCGGGTAAAAGACCGGCGCTACTTGGAGGCCAGATAGAAGGCCGTCGTCACTCTGAAGTTAGGTGCAAGACCGGCGTCACGCAGAGGCGGGGAAGAAGGCTGACGTCACTTAGAGATCGGACAAAAGACCGACGTCACTTGGAGGCCGGGTAAAAGGCCGGCATCACTTAGATGTCGGGTAGAAGAGCGGCGCTACTTGGTGTCCGGGTAGAAAGACAACCAAAGATATGGCAACGGCAGTAGAGCGTAGAATTTGTCAAAGATATATAGCCCATATGAGGTTATATGTCATAGCATTTGCTCGATGACGATAACATGTATGGAAGAGGTCGAGAGAATCCACCAAGAATGTAAGACCTATCCAAGGTTGTATATCAGAGCCTTGCTCGATGACATTAACCTGTGTGGAAGAGGTCGAGAGAATCCACCAAGGATGTAAGACCTATCCGAGGTTGTATGTCAGAGCCATGCTCGATGACATTAACCTGTGTGGAAGAGGTCGAGAGAATCCACAAAGGATGTAAGGCCTATCCAAGGTTGTATGTCAGAGCCTTGCTCGATGACGTTACCTGTGTGGAAGAGGTCGAGAGAATCCACCAAGGATGTAAGACCTATCCGAGGTTGTATGTCAGAGCCCTGCTCGATGACGTTAACCTTTGTGAAAGAGGTCGAGAGAATCCACCAAGGATGTGAGACATATCCATGGTTGTATGTCAGAGTCTTTGCTCAACGATGTTAACCTGTATAAAAGAGGTCGAGAGAATCCACCAAGGATTAATTTTTCCTTGATTGGGAGGGGGCGAACGCCAAGAATGAGAAAGTCCAGCCAGAGACTGTAAGCAGCTTGCAATTTAATGGAAGCATCATTGCATTTTCTAGCAACTTTATGACAAATAGTTTCCAAAGATAATATCGTGGATGTCAGAAGATTTGGAGGAATTTTCTTGGCCATGTTTGCAGTCATGGTTGCCCCCAGCCTACATTTGACTCAAGTGAAATTGATGCAGAATTAGTTGATATCTGAGGGGCGATTAAGAATTGCATAATTTGCCCCCCAGTTAGGAATCTTTTCCCACAGACGGTGCCAAACTGTTGCGGGCTAGAATATACGCGGCGATAGAGTTATAATTCTATGTCTTAGCATGCACGGATATCCAGCTCACACACAGAGAACACAATATTTTTTACGTGGAAATCCCGGAAAAGAAAAAAATCGCGAGGCCTAGCCCAGTTGAAAATGATTCCACTAAAATTTGAGGAAAGTACAATGGTCTGACTTATCCTTGAAGACGACCAGATTACAAATATCAACTGAGAGTTTTGCAAAAGTACAACATCACTCCACTGTCAGATGGTGGTATGACAGCACTCCGGTGTCAGGCGGTGGATCGACAATCGCACTTTTAGTGTCAGGTGGTACTTCAGCTTCGGATGGCACTTCGGCGTCCCTTGGTGGTCCGTCGGTGGTGCGGCAGCACTCCGGCGTCCCTTGGTGGTCCGACGGTGGTGCGGTAGCACTCCGGCGTCCCTTGGTGGTCCGGCGGTGGTGCGATAGAACTACGATGATGGTGCAGCAGTACTCCGACAATGGTGCGGCAGTACTCCGGTGTCCCTTGGTGGTCCGGCGGTGGTGCGACAGACCTACGGCGGTGGTGCGACAGCACTCCGACGGTGGTCGAGGAGGAGCTAGGCGGCTAGAGCTTTCTTCTTTCTCTTCCTTCTTCTCTCTTGGCTTCCTCCCCCTTTCTCATGAGGAAATGAGGTTATATTTATAGAATTCTTGAGTGGCGTGGCTTGAAAATAAGTGGAAGATCAAGGGTAAATTTGGAGTGGTTCGAATGGACGACGGATCTTGATTCTTAAGATCATGCACCGTTCAATGGATATTTAATTGTCTTAATGATATCAGAATTTGATGATCTTGGGCTCGTTGGATTCGTCTCATCGAGCCGCTCGATTCGAATATAAGCATCTCATGATTGGAGATCCTTTGGTAACCCAAATTGTGGTTCAATCCTTCAAAAAATGCGTCGAGGCTTTGATTTGGACTCATTTGGGCTCGAATTGAGTCGATTTTTGTGTCGTTGGGTTTGTGTTTCCGAGACACTCAGTTCGACTATAAGTTTGCTGAAATCGAAATTCAGATACTCTCCAATTTAATTTTTGAAGTTTCCAACTTGATTTTGCCTCGAGATTCGTGCTCGATCAAGGTAATTTTTTGATGATGTATCAGTCATTATTGAAG